CCCCCCGGCCCCGGCCCCTTCTAAAATGTGCCTGGTATTTGTGCTATTTCATCGGAGCTCAGCACCTTGGGTAGCATTTTGCAAGTATCTGGGTGGATAGGAGTCAGGCTGTACTTCGATCAGTACTGCTGTTAAATCGTTTTCATCTGAGTGCTTGTTCCTCTCCCAGAGCTGTCTCTCCCTTGCACCAGCAGTAGGCTTCCTTGGCCACATGATGAACTCATTTGTGATATAATTAAGCAAGTTTTCCATGTTTGCATTGGTCCACAGCAGGTCACTGATTCTATTTCTGAGCATGACTGCATGACTATTTCGTGGTACAATGGAAAGGGCAGTAAGGCCTTGCAAACATGTAACTAAGGGCAAATGTTGGCTTATACAGGAGAAAACATAGCTAAGTTATTATCAGTGTCTTTTTATTTCTGAATAGGCAAATTTCTCTTCAGAGAACTGTGGGAAAGCCTCAGCTGCTTTTGAGCTTTCCAGGTTCCTCAGCTTCTGCACTACATCTCTCTGGGATAGGCTGCCATTTCAATTACTTTATAGGATAGAATATTTAAAATAACTTTTGATTCTATTTATGAAAGTGTTGTATTCAGCACTATCATAAAATTGAAGGTAGTATTTTATGATATTAATGTATATATTTTGTACAAGATATTTTTTGCATAGCATGATTCTTAATTTGCTGTCTTACAGATCATGGCTGTGAGTTTATCAAAATTTCCTCTGTCATCATGCAAAAAATAGTGTTGGTCGCAATAAAGGTATGAAAGACAGTAAACTATGTATTTCACATTGTAATGCTGCTCTTGTTTTCTTTTGTAGCTGGTTGGTGGCGAATTTGATCTAGAGATGAACTTTATAATCCAGGATGCAGAGAGCATCACGTGCATGTCAGAGCTTTTGGAGCACTGTGATGTAACGTGCCAAGCAGAAATCTGGAGTATGTTCACAGCAATTCTACGTAAAAGTGTCCGTAATTTACAGACTAGCACGGAAGTTGGTTTAATTGAGCAGGTACTGCTGAAGATGAGTACTGTGGACGACATGATTGCAGGTATAAATTGCCAACTGATAAAATAATTATTGCATTCTTGAACTGTCAGAATTTTGAGATTATGAAAGGGTTTGAGATGTCTTGTTTTTTACTTAAAGTGTTATTTTGGTTAGTACTGCTATTGAGTCAGGAGCACTTTTTTTATCAGTTTCAGAAAAATGACAAAAATGTATTCTTAGTTTAAAATATGTGTAGATACATTGTTTAAAATAACTGCCTGTTACTTCATCTCAGAAGATAATGTTATCTGAGTGATTAAAAAAGCAATTTTGAACATAATTAAGAACAGTACATGTTAGATTTCTTAACTGTCAAGGTAGTATTTTAGTTTTTAAATGCATTGATCATTCTGAATTATTCAGATGTTAGAATTGTTATTATGATCCACTTTAAACATAACCTACATCTGACAGCATATCAGAAATTATTCATAGCTTTAAATGCTGGACACTTGGATTATATTAAACAATCATTTCATAATGTATAGTTGTGCTCCCTATAATATCTCTTCAGATTTATACCTTTTTTAATGTCCTATAATTTTTTTACAGCATTAAAAAAATAACATACTTTGATTACTGAAAATAAGTGATTATGTTGTTGCACAGCTAAGGTTCTCAGAATACTTCTGAAGGAGTTTATGTTAATCCATCCTATGTCCTCTCAATAGTAGGGTAAGCATTGCAATCCTAAATTACTTGGTTAGAGTATCACATTTAAAGTACAGCAGCTGAGAGCTGTATATGATTAGCATTTATCTACTACTTACTTTTCATGGGGAGAAACTTAAGCCAGTCAGTATCGTTCAACTAAGTGTGAAAGCAGTTCTTAATTTTTGTATAGTTTGGGACTGATAGTAGGATGCTTAAATTATAAGGCATTTTTGAAAGATTGAAGAGGTTTGTCTTCTCTATAATTGTAAGATTTTAGTTGATAATCTGATTCTTGGCATATCTAGGCTTTTGTGGAACAGTAAACCAGCAAGGATTTCAGACCAGAAACAAGAGAAGGGTAACAGCAGCATGAAAACTGGCATATTCAGGAATCTTTTTGTCTTTGGCTTTTTTTCATTATAAAAGTGTCTGTTACATTATTTGAAAAAGCTGCATTCCATTTTTCAAAGCAAGTCTTAGCAAACACTTTATTAGAAATATTTTGTTTATTAGAAATATATGTGTAAATGCTAAAACCAGAAGTGTTATGCTAAATAGTGTACTGCGAGATTCAGACTGAAGTATAACAGATCAACAGCTTGATAAGCCAGTGGTTTTAGCCAAGTATGCTTTGTTTTGCAGGACGTGTAAATATGTCAGAATCGTCTAAGTGCAAAGATTCTGTTTTATTCCAATTTAAATATAAGATATTAGTTGATGAAAACATTTCTATCATGAAATTTTTCTGGGTTTCACTCATGGAAATAATGAGCCATCAGTAGTCATACCAATAAAATTTGTCTGGTTTAAGGTCCCCTAAATAATACTTCTGTATGTGGCGTATATAACTGTAATGATGTTCCCATTAGAGAGAAATTTTAAAAAATGCTCCACTAATTGTAGAAGTCAGAAATCAAGAGTATAGGATCTGGCTTCAAGGAGCATCTAAGAACTGAAAAATCACTCTGAATTTACAACTGTTAATATAGGCCAAGGGTAGTACGTTAATAAAAAAATTAATGGAGCTTCTACCCCATTAATTTTTTTCTGAGTGGTCACACAGTATTTCAGAAAAAGACCTTCTGCAGAAAAGACATCAGTAAGCTTGCATTTGAGAGCAAATATTAAATTTAAAAACAAAACTGAAATTTCGAATTCTGATGGCATTTTAGCTCTGTGTATCAGAATAGTCTTCTGTATGTCATGAGCAGGGATTTGACAGAATCACACTTTGTAGGGTCTTTCTTTCTCTGATAACTGTAAATAGATGAGAATGTGGGGGATTTGAGAATTTTTCTGACACAGACACGGAAGCAACTAAGTTCGTAATTTTGCTTTTATCTCTTGATTTTTGTGAGTACCTCACCACCCTTTCACAAATGTCAACAACATTGATAATAAGTCAGAAGTAGTAAATATGGTCATGTAATAACTAGTTCAGTGGTAGGCACCTGATGACAAAATCAGTGACAACTAATGCAGTATCTCTGTTCCCTAATCTGCTATGCAGATGCTGAGGTCATAATTGACATCAGATGACTGTAGAACTTTTTTTGCCCCAGGAATGTTTATGATCTTTCCATACCCAGAGAATAAAGTAAGAAATGTTGTGGCAAAATGATTTTTAACATTCAGGGAAGATGTTTAGAACAAGAGCTGTGTTAGTGCTTATTCCTAATAAGTTAGTACCACTTTCTTCCCAAAACAGTTGCTAGTACTCTGTCAGCCCAGTGTTTTGCAGTTGGCTTTTATCATCTGTAAAGGATACAGCTTTTTGGGGTTTTTTTAGGGTTTGGGGGGAGTTATTTGTTTGTTTTTAGGGCATCTCACTTGTTCCTTTGTGAAACACTGCAATTAGACCTAGATAAGGTTTAAATAGACAATGCAGGCGTAATCTCTGTCTTATGTTCTGACAGCACACTTTCAGGAGCAGTCTCAGTCTGAAGCCACTCCTCTCTGGTTTTATGAAAGTAAGACAACAGCAAATAAACATGTACCAAATCTTTTGGAGTGAGAACTTCTGTTTAGATGAAGACTATCAGATTCATGAGACTTCTCAACACTTTAAATATCTTCTTGAGATTTTTCAGATTCTGTGGCCAAAATAAAAGCTTAATCACCTTGAAAGTCTCAGTTGCAATCCAAATGGGGTCGTTGCCACTTGTATTCTAATTTGCTTTCCAGAAGCACCACCTGTCAGAAGTCATCTTTGTACTGTGATAGTCTGCTCTACTAAGATAGAGGATGGTCAGCCACTTTATCAATGGTTAAGGCGAAAAGATTACTGCGATAATTGCATAGGGGATTGGCACTTTTGTTTTTTTAACAGCTGCACAGGATCTTCCTTGAGGGATTCACTTTTTACAGTTCTCTATTTTCAGGTGATTAGTAGTGAAGCAGATCATCTGCTCTGAGGCATCTTTTGGGCTAGTGTGACTTCAAAGAAGTCTGAATGCTGGATGAGAGAGTAGCCTGAACTCATACAGAGTGGATATGCCTCCCTTGTGCCCCATTTTATTTCCCGCAGTTCTGTTGTGATGCTGTAGGTAATTGTTCTAAAATTGCTGGAGCTGTATTCTTCAGCACTGAAACAGTTCCTAGCTTTTAAGCAACAGTGTTAGGTTTTGACTGCTCTGTCATTAACAGACTGTTAACAAGCATTTATCTTTCAACTGGTTCCATAAAACTGCAAAATAATCACGTTCTGTATTGCCAACCTATAGAAATTAATTTACTTCACCAACAGAGTTAAAATTCACAATTTCATGGCTGTCTGTTATTTAAAAGGTTAAGGAGTCATGAGGGTAGTTTTCCATAAGTTGCATTTCCAATGCTGTTTAATAAGTCTTCTAAAGGTAATGCCATACCATTCATTTTGATACGTGCTTTGCTATTTGAAAGACAGGCTCTTTTTTCATTGTATTTTCATAGTCTATGACTGAATTAAACATTCCTTCAATTAATTTATAGATCATATATAAACTGCTTAGTATGAAAGTAGACAGAAGCTGCCATTAACAGAAATAAAATCTGTTGCATTCAGTGCATTTTAGAAATGCATTAAATATGAGAAATGGTGCCTGTTTTCTTCTTATGCACTTACTACTATTTTACACAATCATGTTTCTGAAATGAGGGCATAGATACCAGTTATATATATATATATATATATATGATCTTATTTAATATAAAAAATGAAGTAAAAATTAAAAAATCCTAATTGTAGTATGTTTTGTGACCTTTGTCCATTTATAGATGAGTGGATTATTAGGTTTTATAGACCAGATGTGGACTCTTTTATATGAGATTTTTAATAACTATGAATAAAGCTATGTAATAGAGTACAGTTCTTTTTAAGTCTTGTTAGATTGAAACAAGAAGCAAACTTTCTTTAGAGGTGTTTACAGCAATATTTTTAAGTAGCATTAAGTGCTTCAGCTTCCACAGATGTTCTTTGCTTTGTCTTTACTTGTTACCTACTGAGCTCCCTGTCTTTGTTTTACCCAGAGTTACATTGTTAGGGAGATTACATTTATTTATCTCCATCAATGTTTTATTCATTATTTATAAATATGTATTTCCAATATCTGTGGGTTCTCAACATCTTCAGTAGAAATAAGAAATTATCTGTGCCATATAGTACAGGGCTATAACAGTGAAAGAAAGGAGCACATGTTCTGTAATTTTAAAAACCTGCCAATCATTTCTGTGTTTGGCCATATTAATTTTTACTATTGTCATCTATGTTAGAAGGTTTTTTTTAATGATGTTCTGGTTTTCACCACACAGCTTTGCTTCTACACAACACTTTTTAAAGGAAGCAAAATCTGAGGTAGCTGGATCTAAAAAGCAAGTTAAGAATGCAAAATAAGAATTGGGAAATCGTTAGACAAAGATTGGTATTCACTTGTGTTGATTTCCCTTTCTGAGTTTTCAGTGTGTTACTATTCTCAATTTCTAATCACGTACAATATGAGCAATCTGCCAGCTTCACATTGCAGGCTGGAGACTGTACAGTGAAGGGGGCAGATGCTCGTAGGTACTAGAGGAGGAGCTGAGTCATAGAATTCACCATCACAAGAGAATAGGGGGGTTAGTTTTCTTAGCTTTCTTTTGATTTCCCTTAAGAAATTCTGTTACAAATATAATGTAGCACTAATTTTAAAGGGAAGATTAAATAAAGCCTTCCCTTAAAGAAAGGGAGAAAAAAAAAAAAAAAGTCTATACTTGAACATTAGGAATATATTCAGATTTTATGGTGAAAATATCTGCAGGTTACAGTGTTTTTCTTTTGCCTTTCCTGACATGCAGTTTCACTCACTGAACAGCTTACTATGTCTCCTGTAAATTAAATGATATTTCGTTCATCACATGTGCCTTTTGCTTACTGCGGACCAGAGGTTGGTTTCAGAGTGGAACAAGTTGAATTGATCTAGATGGTTTTACTCAAAACCACACACATAAGGGATTTGCAGAGAGATTTGGTTGAAAACAAAATATCAATGTGAAATGTCCTTGAAAAGGGTGGACGCTTTTTAAGACTACTCTTTGTCAGCACCTGTAAGAGTCATCCTTTCACTAATGAACAAGAAAAATGTGTAGTCTTCTGTAGCAAATAAGATGTAAGTTTATTCATGTTTTCTACAACTTTTATGGGGAGAATTTTCTGATTGATGAGCAGATTGAAAAAGTTTGTTAATGCTGGTTCTCTTGTGTCATAGCTTTTTTGGTCTGGAAACTCTGTATTTCACTGCTTTATCTCTGAATTAAATTTCTTATTCCACATCTGTGAATATAAGTAAATTGTTTTCCTCCTGCTAGAGGAAGTGGCAATTCTTAGTAGTGTGCTTTATTCCAGAAGAAAGTGTGGAGTGTAAGATGAGGTCCAGTATCCCACAAGCTGACAAATTCTTAAAACGAAATTGTGTGTTATAAAATCAAGATCCAAGTACTAGCGGTAAATTTAAACCTGATATTCCCTGAAAGGCAGGCTACTTCATGTCATTACTTTAAAAGTTTATGGATTTTGAGATGTTTTAATGAAAGCTGTATTACATAAATTCGTTAGCAATTTTGATTGCTTCTCTTTATTGTTTTCTAGCTGTGGGTTTTTTTTGTGGAGTTTTGCTTGTGGTTTTTTGGGGTGGGTTTTTCTTGTTGGTTGGTTGGTTGTTTTTCCCCTGGCCTTTCATTCTGGTAAAAATTGGAAGCATTATTACTGTAGCAAAACTGTGGGAACCATACAAATAGTATAGTGTGATGTGCTTAAGTTAAAGAATAATGTCATCTTTTAGGTCAGAAATTTTTGAAAGATGCTAACTTTAGAGGAATGAAGAAACCCTTATCCCAAAAGTATGTAACAAAAAAGAGCAAGCTGTTCATAATGTATGATGAATTGTGAAACAGGAAGAACTAATTCTTCATAAATAGATACTTTGTTCAAAGTGTGATGCAAAATATAAAACTGCATATGAAAATTTATTTCTAAAAATAACTAAACCAACTTGAATATGAAAACCTTTGTAAAATATTTAAGACACTGAGTTTGACTTTTAGAATTTGTGAATATACTTACTTTTAAAGGTACTAACTTTTTCAGCTTTTTTTTGTCAAAACAATGAAATTCAGAGTTCAGAATAACTTTATTTTCCTTTGAAGATCTTCTAGTTGATATGTTGGGGGTTCTTGCCAGCTACAGCATCACTGTCAAAGAGTTGAAGCTTTTGTTCAGCATGCTTCGAGGCGAAAATGGAATCTGGGTAAGCTGTGATCAGATAAAGCATTAAGTGTCATTCCATTAGAGCCTGAAGTTAACATAAATTGTCTCCTGGGACTTATAAACTTGAATTTCTTTTTTTTTTGTGTTGATTGAACATATGTTTATGAAGTAATTTTACAAACTACTTTAGAGTTTATTTGCTATGTTTTTTGAAAACCGTCCAGTTTCCGTTGTAGCCTAGAGAGTACAAAAATGGTTGTATTGACTTTTGTGCAATTTTCTTATTTTCACAGCCAAGACATGCGGTTAAACTATTATCAGTCCTTAATCAGATGCCACAGAGACATGGGCCTGATACCTTTTTCAACTTCCCAGGCTGTAGTGCTGCAGTAAGTTTTCAACCAAAAAAAAAATACAACTTGCGGAACAAATAAATTGCTCCTCATTTGCGTTTCCTTTCATTTGGTTTTGGAAATTCTTGAAACGAGAGGGGGAAATACATGCTAGAGTAGTCTAGACCTTGCCTTCCATAGGGTTGCAAGGTAGTTGTAGTGTTGAGAAGTTGCACTTGTGAGGATGCAATGAGAAATAGCAGATTTTTGTGTGGGGAAGTTATCATGAAAGTGAAACCTGAGAATTCCAATAAACAGTGTTATTTTAGTTCAATAATGTAATTGCTATGTAAAGCAGAGGCTTGAGGAAAATATAGGGATGAGCTCATCCATGTAATCACAGTTTACGGTGGAAGCTTAGTCATAAGTTTTATTCTATATATGTTTTTTTGGTTTTGTCTGAACTCCATCAGCTGTTTTCCTCAAGGCAGTGATTTAAATGAAGTCTTCAGTTGGCTTTACTTTTTGAGATAACTTATGACAATGAAACTGTATTCCATTTCTAAACCTTCTCAAACAGATATTCTCTCTTCTATTCACTGCATGTATGTTCAGAAAAACCTACAAATAAATTCAAATATTGTATACAGATATACACATATGAATATTAAGGTAGTAAATACAAATGCTTAAAAATGAGATATCCAGATATCAGGTTCAGTTCCATTCTGGTATGGAATGGTACATGCTTATGGTATAACTTAGAATCTTTTAAGGGGAAATAATCCTGAGAACCCTGTCTTTTTATGCTAGGACATGAAGGTTCTTAGGAGCTTCTCTTGGGCTGTTCTAATTGTATTTCCTCAATAGCACTAATAGTTTTCTTTAAGTGTAAACCACTACGTGTTCTGTGTGAATACAGCTGGTGTGGCAGATTGCATCAGGGAAATAAATTGGCTTAAAAATAACTGGTTTTCACCTGAGTTATTTTTTGCTAGATCACTTCCTTGATCTTGTTTCATATTCAGCTGCACAGACAGATGTGTCAGCAAAATTCATAGGGCGTATTGTGTAAGGAATTAGTTACTGAGTTTTGAAAGAGAGAGTTTCATTTGCTACTGCTAAATTAAAACCGGTTAACCTCTCTTGAAAGTACATGCAGCAGCAAGACAGCTGTTGCAGAATATGAATGTCTGTAAGAGCACATACTGCTTTGACATTTCTGGGCTTCAGAGGCAAACCCTGATGAAATACCTCTCTTAAATATAATTTTGTATCACAGCTTCAAAAAATGTTTTGCAGGGGAAAAATTTCAAATATCCCTTCCTGTCCAAAGAGGTGCATCGGTTACAGGAGCATAAGGTTTCTTGATTGAAATGTACCAGAGGCATTTTTCTTTCCTTGGTTAGGGTCTTGTTCCGCATACCACTCATCATTGACTGTACACCTGTAAATCAAGAAATATGAGTTTCAAATTTGCATTTCTTGAGTAGTGCATGTTGTATTACAGCATGAAGTTCTGGAGAGAGGTCATCCTCTGAAGTGGACTAGGGGTGATTACTTACAAAATGACCTATACAATGAAGTACTTCATTAGGAAAAAACAGACTGGATAAAATTTAGCACTGATTTCAGATTTCCAGGTGTGATGCATAATGATGACATCAGATAGAGAAACATCATAATGTTTATCTGGCATGATAAGTTGGGTGCGTGCTCCTTGTATAAGCAAGATTTCAGTGGTAGCATGAAGTAGCCAAGAGTCTACTGAACCAGTCTGCTGATCTGCTGGTGAGCACTGCTTCGCTATCCTAACTGAAGGGCTCGGCCCATGTCTGGGTTATGTCCCTGCCAGTGTGTAGAAGTAGCACAGCAGTCACTTCCTTAGAGAACGCCTTGTGGTGGTGGTACTATTCCCGGGTGTTGTTCCTGTTTGTCATCAAACGGCTCTTTTCCTTTTCAGGCGGGGGAACTCCCTCTCAGGAGGCAGGAGTGATATCCCAAAGAGTTCCTTAAAATGTTTAGTACTGAGCAGTTAGTACCAAGCTAGCAGCAGAATTGGTGTTATTTCTTTTGCCTAGTCAAATACTAGCATAATCTGAGTGCACTGCTGTATCTAATTGTAAAATTTACTATGAGTTCCCTATCATTCTTAATAAACTATTTCTCTGCTCTTAAAATTCTTTCAGCAATTGCCTTTCATATAAAACCAATGAAAAGTCATTCCCACTCTGTACCTTTTTTTTACCTACTTTATTATGGTGTCATGGAATCCTCTGTTGCCCAGAGACTTATGTCCATTCTTACTTTAAGCAGTGAATGAGTTTGATACAATGTTTGTAGTCTTCAGTATGAATCATCAGAGTACAAAATTTGACTGTGACTCATATCACACAGAATCACAGAGGGATTGAAGGTGGTGAGCATCTCCAAGGATGGAGACTTCACAACCTCTCTGGGCAACCTGTGCCAGTGCTCATTCAGTATTGCTGATAGCTTTGATAAGAACACAATACCATGGATTCATTAACTACTCTTTATTATTTTAAAGTGTAGTAAGAGTTTAAATTATTTTACTGAAACTGAAAAATATACATTAGATACACTTAGAAATAACATCCTATTGTTATTTATAAAGTTATTTTCTTCAGCTTTGTATTAATATGCAACTTATTTCAATTAGTAGTATTAAAGGCTATTATTCCTTTACTTTTGTGTAAAATACTCTATATTTCATCTGATGGAGGGAGAAGGAATTTTTTTTGTGATCAGTACTCTCTACAGTAATTTCTAAATTATTACAAACATTTAATTGTTAAATTTTTAAAATTACTTAATTTTATGTATACTTCTCCTACTGAGGGGAAAAAAATGTTTTATCTTTTAGTGCTATCAAAGAAAACACTTACTTTGTAAATGACCTCTGAAGTTCATCTTGTCTAATTTCCTCCCAAAAAGTACCTAACTTCAAAGTTAGATCAGGTATTCAGGGTCAGAGATAGAGTTCTCTGAAGCCTCTTAATCAGTCAGCCCATAAAAATAAAATATTGATTTTTTTTTTTTTTTCCCCCAGGGCATGGCTTAATATTAATGTATTTAACTGAGAATGGGTTTAAAATTTTCAGTCTCTTACCTTACTAAGTGTTCACAGGAAAAAAAACCCAAAACTGATAGGTCTTAAATCTCAGAGAACAACCGTTTTTATATTGTAGTTTTAACAGTGAATCTCTATTGTACTATCTGTTGAGATTAATTTGTTCTTAATGTTTAAGTCTATTGATGAGATGAATACTTACTGAAAACTGAATTTATAGTTTAATTTCTGCAGAAGTAATTTTTCTACTTTTTTTCTCTTGGTATTGTCCGTTCACAAATTTAATTTCATGTCCTCCATTGGTAGAATTTATGTAGTTAAAAATTAAAGTATTTTAAAATAGATGGAATATTAATGCATTTGGTTAAAAACACTATTTGAAGGTGGTTTTTAAAATATTTAATACTTGAAAGTTAAAGGAGATCTGCAGATCTAGAATGACAGGATTTTAGAAAGCTATTACCTTTAACAAAATTCATTTTTTGACTTTGTTTCTTTTTTCTTTTTCTTTTTTTTTTTTCATTCCAGGCAATTGCATTGCCTCCTATTGCTAAGTGGCCTTATCAAAATGGGTTTACTCTTAACACCTGGTTTCGTATGGATCCGCTAAACAATATCAATGTAGATAAGGATAAACCCTATCTCTATTGGTAAGTAACTTAAAACACTACAGTTACACTTCATTTTGGCTTCCTAATAACAGTTAATCTTTCTCACTGTTTTTAGTTTCTGACTTTTTTTTTTTTTTTTCCCCCAATTATCTGCAGATTTTAATGGCTGCTTACTGTCTACAAACACTTAAAAGTCAAATGTCCTTTTTGCTTTGCAATTTACAAATCCATGGATGGAAGACATATGCTTTGTTGATAAACCATGGAATCTATTGTGGTGGTTTCTTTAGGAATTTTAAAATACATGATTTCATAGAGCTGTAAACAGAGAATATTGTCATATTTTCTGTTTGGTGTTTGAGTTTCTTATCTGATGTCAGTACTACAAAACAGATCTGTTCTACTCCAGAGCCTACTGTCTGCACATTAGCTAGAGGTAATAGAAAGTAGATCTGTGAACATAAAAATGGCTCACTGATCACCTGTTCCCAAAAATGGAAGCTGTATTTCATAATACATCAATGGCAGGAGAGACAATTTTAGTTTACTTAGGTTTGCTTTCGTGATAAACATAGAAATAATAGTTACATACTTATTGCTGACCTCTGATATTTAGAGATTATGCTATAGTAGTAAAAATGTTTATTCTATTGGCCAATGATGAAAAAAGAATTATGTAAAAAAAAAAAAAAAAAAAAAAAAAAAAAAAAAAAAAAAAAAGGGAAAATAAGGAACCTTCTGTTGTGTCAGAACATGCTGATATTTTTTCAGCACTTGTTCATTGTTTATGTATTTGCTGTTTAGTAGACTTTTCTCATTCTCTTAGACTGTATATCAGCTGTGCAGACAAATGAGGACTGGACATTAGCAAGATCTATCAAGTTTTATCAGCTCAGGAAAACAGCAGTAGCACAAGGAGGAAAGTAACCAAAAGTAATGCTTCTCACTTCATAGTCATTCCTGGTAGATTAAAGAGTAGAAGATTTTAGTAGTCAGCTGAGGAGAGGACCAGTAGATATAGTCTCAGAAAGGTACTTGTACTATCAGTACATAAAAATCTTACTGTGTATTTTCTTGGAAAACCAAAATAATTCATACCTTTTATGGAACAAATATCTGATTAAAAATAATTTAGGTTTATTCTGAAGAAAATTTTCTCTAAATTAACATCTGGGATAATGCTTTGCTACCATGGAGATTTTTTTCAAGCTGTTGCCTATAGCTGTGTTTATTAGTATGATATATATTTTATTTCTTTTTTCAGTCTATCAAGGACAGTAAAAAATGCAATTATAGGACTGAACATGCATACAGAAATTTAACATGTTACTTTGTTTCTCAGCCAGAATGTATGTTACAGAATTGGTAACTTCAGGTGGTGTATTTGATTTGAGAATTTATTACTGCCTCAGAACAGGAAAAGTATACTCCAAAGTTGTACAGCCCACGCTGTATGCTGCTTTTCTTACAGATAGTAGTGTAGAAAGACCTTCAGCCTGAGTGATAAATATGATTCCTTCTGATTCCAATATAATGCAGAAGCATCAATGGCATTAGGTTAGAATAACTTCAGATGTTTGATTTTTTTTTTTTTTTGGTACATATTTTTTTGCCGTGATGTAGTTCTGATGTTTATTATGATGTGATTACAATTCTTATTAAAGTCTAAGATTTTTGAGTATACATTTTAACATATGTTCTGCACTGAAAGAGTTTAAAATCCTTCATGTGTTAATCTTTCCTGAATTATGGATACTTCATATTTGTGTCAGAGGGAGTTTACTTCTGGTTCCATTTTTAAGTATATTGATTTAGACCTTTTCTCTAGATTGTATTCACTTTGCTACAAAGAAGTGGTATAGCTTAGAATAACTGCCACGTATTATCAGACATCTGTCTTAAATAAACAGATTTTTCCTTAATTAGTTTGTTTTTGAAATGTCAATAAATAAACCCCACAAAGCTGCCCTTTGAGTTACCAAAGAAACCTGAATTTCTTCCTTCAAAATAATTCTAGGTTTCACCTTAATATTATACTCTATAAAGAATATTTTTTTAATAAGCATACTTCTTCTTAGCTACAACTGTAACAATTCCATGTTTTCTTAGAAGACATCCACTGACAGTATGATTTACCTATAGTAAGTAACTTAATATAGTAATAGTGTCTGTTTATTAGCTTAATTTAAGAGTCTAGCAAAGTAAGAAAACTTTTTTTTCTTTGAGTTTAAATTTCCCCATGGTTGATGTGTGCTTCTCTTTGTTTTCATCTGTTTTCATAGCCCAGAACATACCAAAATAATGTCTTTTATATTTTGTTCTTGCCACTTGCAAACATGGAGAGAAAGTATAGCCCCCGAACATACGGATTTTCAACTCTACCTTATTGTAGTGCATAAAGGATAACCCCTCTAGTAAGCATAGGTATTTTCCTGGATGCACAGACTCTTCAAGTAATCCTTGGGCATATCTATGCTGAATGAATTATTTATCTCACACACAGACACCTGCATGCACAAATCTTTAATTATAGTTGAGTGTCTCATTTTCTTATGTTACCCCTTGTTATGGAATATATGTAAAAGGAGAGTATTTATCAAGAGTGGGAAATAAAAACTTCTGTGACTAACAAGTGGAACATTGCAAATGCTTTCTATGAGCCACAGAAAGAAGTCGGTCTTACAGAAGTCAAATGCCAAAATTGAGTTTGTGTAAATGTAATGTGCATGTAATACACATAATAGAAACTGAATATGCCAGCCTCTGAAGGAAATTAGGAGTCAGCTTGCCATTTTTATATAGCAGCTTAAACAAAGCCATAATAAATTAAAACCAGGAAAAAAATATTCAAACTAGATCATCCATCTAAACTTCTTCATGCAGATTTTAGACTTTGCCACATGAAAGGTTGGGTCACACACAGCCACCACCAAGAGGATGATACCAAACAAAGATTTATTTTCTTTCAGTGTGCCTTTTGGGCCTGTAATATCTTTTCCTGTTCAACTAGGTGGAAAATGTGTCATATAAATTAACTCTTTCTTCACAATTTCTTGTTGTCGTCTTCTTTTAAACAATTTTCTTTTAAAAGCAATAACTGAGTAGCATGCACAATTTCAAAGAGGACTCATTTGAAGCAGAGATGCTGAAAAGCAATGTCAGCTAGAAAAAGGTTCCTCAGGACCTTCTCCAGTCAGGTTTTTGCATATCTTCACAAATGGAGATATCGCAACCTCACTGGGAAGTCTGTACCAGTCTTTGACAACCTTCACAATGAAAAAGTTTATCAGTTTCAGTTTGTGTTCATTGCATCTTGTCCTTTCAGTGGATATCACAGAGAAGTCTCTGGCTCAGTCTTCTTTACTCCCTAGCCATCAGCTATTTATACATGTATTTTCTTCTCCAGGTTAAACAGTCCCATATCTCAGCCTCTTCTCATGTGTCAGAAGCTTTGATCATTCAGTCCTGTACTGGACTCAGTCTGGTATGTCCATGTCTTCCTTGTACTGTGCAGCCCAGAACCGGACACAACAACCCAGATGTGGTCTCTGCAGTGTTAGGACAGGGGAAGGATCACCTCTCTCAATCTGCTGGCAATATTTTTTCTAATGCAGCCCAGGATACCACTGGCTGCCTTTGCCATGAGGGCACATTATTGAACTTGCTGATTTCCAACTGGTCAGTATCCAGCAGATACTGGTGACTGGAGCAGTTCCTCCTCAGGGACAGGACTTTGCACTTCCCTTTGCTGTTCTTCATGAGATTCTTGTTGGCCAGATTCTCCAACCTGCTATGGTCCCTCTGAATGACTGCACACTTATCTGGTGTATCAGCCACTCCTTCCAGTTTTGGATCAGCTGTAAACTTGCTGAAGGTGCACTCTGACCATCAGGTTATTAATGAACAAGATTGGACCCAGTACTGGACCTTCTGACTCCAGTAGTAACTGGCCTCCAACTGGACTCATACCACTGATGACAGTGCTTTTAGCCCAGTAGTTCATTTCGTTTTCAGATCACCTCACCATCCACTTACTTAGCTCATTCATCTTTAGTTTGTCATTGAGGTTGTTACAGTGTTGAGAAGTCTTGCTAGAAAGTCAGGATAAAAATCTCCAGCTTTCCTCTCCATCCACCAAGCCAGTCAGCTCATCATAGAAGGCTATCAGCCTGATCAAGGATGACTTCCAGTTTGTAAATCCATGCTGGCTATTCCCAATCACCTTCTTAGGTCTGATCCAGCCTTTAAGTGAGTGCAGAAAGAAGTGGCCAGGGATCTTTTGTGGGGGGGAGAGCAACATTATATCAACTTGACCATGATGTGAAAACTAATGCTTAAAAATGGACAAGGGAAGCAAAGACATGCTTTTACGTTTACCAGATGTGAGGGAAAATTGCTACTGTTCTGTTATTAGCTAAATGACAAGTGCTACTTCAAGAACTGTAAGCCAATTTGTTGTTTGTTTCTTTTAAAATAATTATCTCTAAGAATGATGTTGGGCAGCTGCTAAGTGACAGTCTATTAATACTTGTATATTGGAACAGTATTGTAGCTTTCTTACCAATTACAAAATGAGTATGACAATCCGGGAAGAAAAATTAGAAGTCTTTCACATTCACACGGATGATAAATAACAGCAAGGAGAAGGCTTTGTTGCAGAGCAGTCAGGTTCAAATGATAAGATTCAGAATTCTATAGCACAAACTTAACTGTAAGCAAACCAATGTCATACACCTAACAGTGAATAATGGGTGCCATGCCTACAGAATTAGTAGTTAAGTATTAAAAAGCGGTAATTACAGAATGATGTTAAGGGTTATTGTAGGTAACAAACTGACCAGAAACTGCATTTTCATTGCTCTAGCTGAAAAAGTTAATGTGATCTTTTCAAGGATGGTCTGAACAAGCAGGGAAGAGAGTAAAGGTGATGTGATCACTTCCTGAAATCTTGGCAAAAGCATTGCTGGAATACTATTTACAGTTAAGAACTGCTACTTCTTTTACGAAACCGTGGAAGAAATTGGTACTATGCAGAGAAC